TTGGCAGATGCCATAGTCCTTCCCATCATAACAGTCCATAGCAACCCACACCCATAGCCTTATCCATTGTTTACATTATCCGCAATAGTCCTTCACGAACAGAGCTAATCGCTAGTTTGGGTCCCATTTCGTTTAGATTAAAGTGGTCTAAAGGACCTCCGCACAGTTCGCTTCGACCCCTACACCTTCCAAAAGACTGGGATGTTACATAAAATTTAACTATTTTCAAAATTAGTATGTTTGCATTATGGATACTGCACTAGCTTCCTAACACTTCGGGAAACAACACCATTCATTATGGAGAATGCTTGGTGTAATTAGATTTTTGGTGTCCGCTAATTCTTATTGTTCTGTCCGATGACGGACTACATCATATACATATCTATGCATATAATTCAATACAAATACGATTAGATCCTAAAAAAGTAGCAACCTTGATAACTTCTTAAAAATCCTGTTTTCTATAAGCGAAATAAGGCGGCGTACACACGAGCTGGTGATCGCGATAGCCGCGTGTCGCTGTCGGCTGTCGGGTAGGAAATTGCCAACGTAAACAGTGTAGATGGTCATATCACGAGGTGACGGGAATGGCCGTTCCACTGCGGAATTTCCTGCTCGTCTACACACAGCCTTATTTAGTTTTTTAAGAACTTTATACCACTTGAGTTCTGTGCACTCCTGATTTGTGTAAACCTGAACTAAATGATAGAACACGCAATCTGGTTATGTGGTCAGAGTGTTATATTCAAGTAACTGTGAGAAAAAAGTCTAAGTATTGCAGCGGTACTTATAGCGGAATGGTACTCAGCATGGTTACAACCGGCTAATCTTAAGAAATCGTGCAATAAGTATACTCACATCATAAATAAATAAAAAAGTGTTAAAGTCTCTTAACGTTGTGCTAATTGGCATAAAACCCTTTAAACACATACACAAACGCCTTAGAAAAATCCAATGTTGTGTTAGCCTAAAGAAAGTATCGCTTACTTACTCATTTTAATTAATTAAACCTAGTCGACTAGAGAGAAACGAAAAGCCTGTTCATTAGTTCCTTTTCACAATTAATTGGATCGCTAGACTTAGCTGCATTACCTACATTCATTATGCGGTGCACTATTTCTGTGCCTGCAAACTGCTGTAAACGGAAACTGCAGTTTTTCAAAACACTCAGTAATCATCCCCTCCAGTGGCATACGGTAAAGGGAGACATCGTTAAGGAAGCCAAAACTTCCTCATTATATATTTCACATCACCAATTTGCCTTAGAATACCTAGTGATAAATAGAAACAATAAAACAAATATATATTTTTGCAAGCAGGCCATAGTCTGTTGGGTGATATGATATTGGCGATTTGAGTCGAATAGTATTTATGGATTTCAGGGGACATATAGATGGTAATCCATGCTGTGCTAATGTTACGAAATTTAATTGGTTCATTTCTAGACGGTCCCATCTTTCAATTATTTGACTATCAGCAAGAAGCGAGTAACAAGCAGTCCGGTTCTTTATAATTGTATTGGAATTGCATGGCATGACATCCAGTGTCAAGTTATAAGACATGGAATATCCATTGTCCATAGCTCGATAGAAGTCTGGCAGAACCAGTAACGTGCCTTTTGGACGACACCAAAACATTACCAACCTATACAACACGTCACATCGCAATTAATAAAAATCACGATACACTATCGTTACACGAACACAAATTATCACAGATAAGCTGCTATCACCCGAACAATCGCAGATAGGGGCCGTGTGTAGAAGCAGAGCCTAAATTCGACATGTTATTATCATCAGCGGTGGCCTGGGGTACCTAATGGCGGCCTCCCTTATATCCACGGCCGGTTGGTATTCGAGACCTCTGCTGATCCTGGCCTCTGTTTTTTTTTATCTTGTAACCTTTTTCTACTATTTATCTTGATTGATTCACGTAATTAATCGATAGAACGAGGGCAACGGTCGATTTTCCTTTCTTTTGTCTCTTTTCCCTAATCTATTTTTTAGCGATAATGCACTCGGTATTTGGATTATTGTCGTCTGTTTAGTGGGTTGAGTAATTCTAATGATATGTCTCTGATATCCTAATTCTCCTGTCGTAATTGCGAAAGTGTGTTACTCAGTCTTTTTTATGTTATCTCCAAAACTGCTAAACTGTTTTTTTAATAATTTTAGCACAGACATAGACTGTATCATGAAGACCAGACGGTGAGATCATACTGATCTGAAAATGAGGAGAAATAGGGTGTAATTTAAAAAAAAAAACTAGTACTAGTATAACCATACTGTAAAGTAAATTAACTATGTATTAAAAGGTGTGTAGTAATTATATGCTACCGATATTGGTTGTAGTTCATCACGTACGTACGTATTATTTGAAAGCGAGTTCGTCCGCCTGCTTTAGTGCCCTCGTTACAATAGTGCCGCGTAGTTTTTGTTTGGACCACTTCAGCAGCTAGATACTGCATCATAATTATATTCTATACATATACCTTCTATTCGTAGTTCCTTCCGTATAATTAGCATTAATTTCAAATATTCCTTTGCAGATTGGCAAATAATCTATAGTGCTTGAAAACCTAATGAATCTTTTCCTGGTCCGGAAATCGAATCTCGCTTATAACTTGATTGTCTGAATGTACATATGTCTGTCTGTCATTCCTAGCGTTTTGTTGTTTTTCTTTCAATATAACTTTCTTGGAGGAATGTTGAGTTGCGTGCAACAATCAGGGTAGACAAAAGGTAAGGCCGATGTGAGGCACGCTTCACTGCGCCTGCGCACACGCTTGCACTACCGGACATACATCGCTAATTTATCATATACATGCATTTTGGTACTCGATCAGACACCTGTACTGTATGTACATACTTATTATACGAGTACCTCTATTTAAATGAAAATTAATAAAACAATGTGAAACTTCCGAATGACTGCACAAAATTGGAGAAATCTGTTTTTATCTATACTTATTAAGCTGAAGAGTTATCTTTGAATCTACAGGTTGAACTATTATTTTTGTTTTTAAGGAGCTGAAGAGACAGCGCGTGAAATTAAAATCCTATTAAATAACTAGCTAGTTATTTAATATGATTAAATAATTTAAATGAACAAAATATTGGAAAATTTACTGCTAAATCCCTTTACATTTTTCACGTACGGGTACCTAAAAAATGTAGTATGAGACTAGTATTAGTTACTATTGTAATATATATATATGTACAGTGCAAACCAATAGGCTCGGGATAGGGTTGTGGAGAAGCGCAATGGTACTTCGCAACCCGGCTCGTAGCAAGACTTGAAACGTAGTGGATTTTACTGAGTAAGAGTTCTCTTGTTTCACCTAGGGAGGAAGGAGTCATTCGATGATTCCTCCCTCAATAATTGCCCATGGATTCACTCACTATTACATTTTTTTATGGAGTAGGATGCAAACGAGCAGATGGATCACCTGATGGTATAAGCGATCGGCGCCGCCCATGGACATCCGCAACATCAGAGGAGTCACAAGTGAGTTGCCGGCCCTTTAAGAAGGAATACATGGGTCTTAATAGGCAAAATATGACTTTTGAATATGACATTTATTCATATGTAGGTATGCAGGATCGTTTTTTTTTATCTAAGGAGGAAATTCATCGTCGTTTATTGTGTGTTGTTAAAGTTAGAGAAGGTTAACCTTCCTGCTGCTTCAGGAATGAGGGTTCAAAACCCTAACCTATAGTACTAACAAACGACGGATAAAAAAACAGTCGAAACCTGAACTAATAATATCTAATTATAAGCTTAAAATCACCAATACGCCTTGAGCAAGCGTGGTTACCATTTTCGTTATTTTTGCTCAGTTTGAAGTTTCTAATTAATTGTTCGAAAGGTTTTAGTACGGTACCATCATTTCCTATGTTGTAAGTTAAAATATAAAATAACCTTCAAATTACAATTGTAGAATAAAGCTACCAGCCAGTCCTTAACACTTCATGTTGTAATTTTACTTGAATATCCATTTTTAAGTTAGTCAAAAAGTATTTATTTGTTTAGGGGAAATAAGGGAAGCAAGACAGTGTACTTTTTGTGATGATATTTTATGGAATTTACTATGAAATTTTGACTTAAATTGTGTAATTAACAAACCCAATTATGTATTCTTATTGGTCCCTTATCACGGTTGTTACCTAGCCTACCTATAGCTATAGGTAGATAGGCAAGTAAACTAGAATACCTACCAATAGCAGGAAAGATAAGAAGTAGCATTTCACACAAAATAATGTTTTTTTGACCATCCTCATACATATGCATATCTACATACCTACCTAAACATTTGTTTTTATTCTGAATAGTATCTACCTAACTAGTTTTATATATAACAGTGATTCACAGTTTTTATTACACGAAATAACATTTTTTTTTTGTATAACTACTTAGTGGATGATCCTCTCGTTTATACAAACCCGCGATTACCATGCGGTTAACATAACTAGACCAGTTTGTTGCGCAATCTTACTTCATTCGAGTGACAAATATTTCTGCTATGTCCACCTACGACGATATCGAGAACGAATAAATTAGTGAAACATTCCTTTGTGGTTTTTGTTAACCGATAAATGATAATAATGAATCTTCAATTGGTACAAGCGGCTGATACCCTGGGGAACATTAAACATAGTAGTGATTAGTGAACTGGTTTATTGTGCTACTCTTTTAATAATAAAACGTTTGGTGCACCAACGTAACGTACACAAGAATACTTCGTTTCATGAACATGGAATAGTTCAGCGAGCTCCTAACAAACTGTAACAAAAGTGAAACACAGCCACTCGACCGCTACTAGAAACCGCCGCCCACCTCGCCCGGCGCACGGAATGCGCACCGTATTTACATTAACACCTATGTTATTTTGTCCCACTAATGTGACGCTGACAGCCGTGATTTCATAATCACAGCAAGGGGAGTGTTAAATTAAATTAGTGGTGCGTGGGGTGCAGCCGGAGGTGCCGGGCGATGCGCTGGGAGCCGCGCGTCCTTGGTCGCGGCGTGCGTCCCCGCGGGCGGCGCGCGGCGCGGGCAGTGCGAGCGCGCGCGCCGCCCGAGCGCGACATGAACGTGTTCACGCAGACGCCGCGCGACGACCCGCTGCCCGCGCACTACATCGAGATCGTGGAGCCCGACCCCGCGGCCTGCGAGCCCTCCGCGCTGCCGCCCGAGGGCAACGTCAAGCTGCGCAACTACAGGCTTCTCAACGAGAACATCCGCGCCTACACCCCCACTGGAGACATCCACATCTCGCCGGCCAAGGGCAAGCTGGTAGCTCGCTACGACGTCTGTGCCACCATATCGCCTCCCCGTGCTCGCATCCTGGAGCTGCTGCGCCCCGAAGATCCAGGCCGTGACGCGCTCGAAGCCATCGTGAGGCCAATACCACGCCGTGGCCTCACCAGGCCACTTGATGAAGACACTAAGCGATTTTTACAGCGAGCTCTACAATCTCCCAGCCCTCTACTGTCCGCATCTGCCACACCCGAGCCCCATCACAGACCGCCAGAGCCGCCAGAATCAGACAAGGAATCAGATTCAGTGTCATCCCCTGAAGAAACTAGTCACAATAAATCAAAGGACTCTGTTGCTGAGCGGTCACTAGCAGATGAACTTCGGGAGGCGGAGGAAGAGGAGCATGCGGGAGGATGCACCCAACAAGAACTGCTGCGCGAGTTCCGCAAGCGGGGTAGCGATGCCGTGGAGCGGGAGCGGCTGGGCCGGCTGGCGCTGGCCGTGGAGGACGACGAGGAAGAGTGCGCGCTGTCGGCCACGGCGCGGCGCCTGGACGCGCTCCTGGCGCAGTCGCGCGACCTGCACTCGGAGCTGGCGGACATCCACGCGGACCTGCAGGTGCTGGCCCGGCGCGTGGCTCGCCGCGACCCCTGACGCGTTCGTACCGTTCTGCCGCCCTGCGCCGCCTCACGCACGCTTTGCACCGTATCTAGTACTCGCACCTCGCACCGACATCAACGATTCAATTTCCTTCCGATCAATTAATCGTAGTTCGAGTAGGGGCTCACTCGCCTGGAGTAGTTGCTCCTCATGAGAACTCCGCCGCGGCTGCGGAGGACCGCGAGCGGATGCGTATATTGTATTATTAAATCGATTCAGTCAGGTCGCCGGTTGCCGGTCGCCGGTCCGTCGGTCAGTTTGCTCGTTATCTGCGTGCACTTAAACAATCCAATCTAGTTTACTGCATCATTAAGTAATACATTATCTTGTGTTTCGTGCTACTTTCACTTGGTTTGTTGTCTCTGTCTATCGCCACAAACCAAACTTGGTTGTTAGTGACACGTGAATATATTGAATACGTCGACTATGTATGTATGTGTACATAAGATACAGCCCGCGTTCTGGCGGAGTGGGTGCATTGTGGAATTCTCGATCAATGTGATTTATAGGCTACAGTTCTGTGTTATGGAATTTATTTCTAATTTGCAACGTTTACTTCGGGGAAAGCACACAAATTGGGGACTGTCCGCACATGCCGTGTAGTTTCAGTGTCTCAATAGTTTTGTTATAAACTGTAAGCCGATTTCATAATTTACAAGTAAATCTTCTTCATCAATGCGGAACGATGCGCTTCACCGAGTGCATAAGCGGCAAACGCGTGGTGTGGCGGCGGTGGCGGCCACTAACATCAATCGGTGGAAAAAATTCATGTTTCACGAGTCTACACTGTAAACTCATTGTTGTCAAGAAAATTTAGAATTAATTACAAGGACGTAATAACGTCTAAAGTGGTTGAGATACGAGTTATTATATAAATTATTATCAGCTCAAATTGGAGAATCAAACAATAACAATGATAAGTAACGTGTGACCGGACGACGTAAATACAATGTGAACACATAATATATAAATAATCACTCATTTTGATAAAGAAACGTTATTAAAGTACATATTTGCATATTTTAAGTAATTAAGAAATTGATTAAAGAGTTGAATTAGCTTACTTTGTTATGATAAACAAAACATTAAAAACGTACCAACATACTTTTTTCTGAAGGGCTAGATAAAGGTGTACTTTCAACTTATTTCTATTTTTTTAGAAAACTGGTTAGTAATAAGCATTTAGATCCTCCGCGTATCCTTCAGTACAATCGTAGTTAAAATGTTTAATTTTAAAATTATTTATTTTAATATGATAATAATATAATAGTGATCTTAGCGAGGGCTTTATCTCTTTAGGACGTTGGCAGTCCTTTATTGCCTTGAAGGTAGATTTATTAGATATTTTATAGATTTTTGAGTATTTTTAGGACAAGACTTTAGTTAAATAATTTTAATTACTGATTCTTCGAGTCGCATAGTCACACATTTGGAACGTTTTTTTACAAAAAAATTTACAAAATAAAAAAACCGCCTTCAAAAAAAGTCAAGCAATAAAAGTTCCTACACTAAAAAGTAAAAAATAACAATTTGAATTACTGTAAAAAAACTTAGTTTATAGGTAAACTTATTTGACATTAATATTTTGCAAATATTCAAAATTTATTACTTATTTTTGGAGTCGGTGCCAGCATTTTAATGTTGAAACTTAATGTTAGTTAGCTTTTTAATATCCGGTGCCATTTTTCGTACATAATGCTTAAACATTTTCAATGTACTTAAAATGTCTTTGTAAGTATATATTTTTTATTTAAAAAAAATGTGCAAATCGGACATTTTTTGTAGAGAAGTCTAATCTGTATTTATGTCTTAATTAATATACCTATATTTGAGTATGCAAATAGGTATTAAGTAGTTTTATAATTAAGTAAGAGGTAGTTTTTCAAGGGATTGTTGCCCATTTGTATTTCCTTGCATGGGCTGGCACCGACTCCAAAAATAAGTAATAAATTTTGAATATTTGCAAAATATTAATGTCAAATAAGTTTACCTATAAACTAAGTTTTTTTACAGTAATTCAAATTGTTATTTTTTACTTTTTAGTGTAGGAACTTTTATTGCTTGACTTTTTTTGAAGGCGGTTTTTTTATTTTGTAAATTTTTTTTTTATTTGTAGCCGTTTAGTGTTTTTTTTTATTATAATGTGTTATGGCAAAGAAGTCAATATCGTTCCTACATTTCTTTTGAAAAAGTTACCAATGTCATACTTATACGTAGAAATACATATCATAGTACATTGTTACTGTGTAATCGTTTTGATCTCGAGGAGAGATGATATGATGCATGAGATACTTATGACTTATAGTTAAAAAAAAAAAATAATCTTATCATAAATTCATATTAGTTCTCGCCAAATAACAAAAAACTAGATATTTTCATCAACAGACAGATAAAGTTCAAAGATACCAAATGCAATCTAATTTAGTATCTATGATTAAATACATTCGTACATAGAAAAAAGACCGATGCAATTATTGTTTTGTATCAATTGTAACCCATTAAATGAAGAATACTATTTTGTTATTACTAAGAACATTCATATATAGACAAGTTGGTAAAAATACAAAAGACCATCGCTATTGTAAATATACATTTATGAGTCATTCAATGTATGAACCTTTTTTAAGTAAGTATTATCTACATATGTGCACACAAAAGAAACACAATTATTGTTTTGTACGACGCAATTATTGTTTTGTAACCCATTTAAAACGACTGTTTTGTTAAAAATGCCAATGAATTCTCTTAGCCTATTACCAGGAAAACGATAAGAACACAATGACGCATTTCACCACTAATGTGTAAACGCAGTCCACGTGGACTAATGCAAAATAGCCAATACTAGGCCAAACTCCGCCCCCAAAGGTGTGCGGTCCCGCTCTAGAACCTTTCGGCCCCATCGGCCATCTGTTCTACGAGCAATGTGCCGTGCCCACTGTCACTTAAGTTTGGCATTTCTTCGGGCTATGTCGGTGACGCTGGTTCTTCTGCGGATTTCTTCATTTCTGATTCGAACATGCACGGAAACTATGAGCATAGCCCTTTCCATTGCTCTTGACAGCTCTAATAAGCTTACACAATACTAGGCCCCATGCCAACCTTCCAGCTTCATCATCACATCAGTTCAATAGTACCTTACAGCCAAAGTGCATCTTATAACAATTCTAACAAGCCCAAACACGGCTAGGATATATTAATTAGGTACGCAGTTCCAGTGCCTACCTTCCAGCTCCATAATCATCATTAAATCAGTTCGATGATAACATTTCCAACATAATTATTTAAGATCATTGGTTTACAGTGCATTTTCATAGTTGCTGAACTACCTTGATTGTGATATCTATGCGAGTGTCAAGTTTCATCACCCATTTCTGATCTTCTTCACCAGTTCCACCCCATCAAATATTACTTTTTGACTGTAAATGCTTGAGTGCTCTATGAAAATATTAAAATTACTATATAGTTGCCTATAATATTTGAGGAGTTCCCTCGATTTCTCATGGATCCCATCATCAAAACTCAATTTTGAAAAGAATGGGACCAATCTGGAAGCATATCCTTTCAATCATAAAAAAAATTTTGCAAATCCGTCCATAAACGACGGAGTTCTGAGGTAACAAACATAAAAAAAAAAATAAAAAAAAAAAAAAAAAAAAAAAATACAATCGAATTGAGAACCTCCTCCTTTTTTTGAAGTCGGTTAAAAAGAATTCGGTTTTGTAAATATAACTGATCGTAATTTTGACGTATGTATTGTCCTCACGAAGTGGGTCAAAAATTTTTTCAGGTAAACTAATTACACATTTAAAAATAGTCTTACAATAATTGATAATTTAATAGCTTCTATTAGCACAGCTCCGCAGGCGTTACCCGTGTGAAAAGTAGATATGTGTTATTCCAGAATAAAATCTATCTCAGTGCCAATTTCCATCAAAATATAACCATTCGTTTTTAAGTAACAGAGTAAGAAACATACATACAAACTTACAAACTATTGCGTTTAAAAAATTAAGTTGGATTTCACAAATTCTATTGTCTCAATTATTAGTAAATTTACTGTTTTTGCGGATATACCTAGGAGGATATTATAAATAACTGACATTAACAATAACAACTCAATATTTATAAACATATTACCTAGTTACTCCATGTTTTTTTGCTTAACATTTAAGATAACAACCTATTAGCTCATGGGGTTAAAAAAATTACACTTATCTAATTATAATGATTAGTAGTATAATCGTTTTTGTTGACGATCATCAGCTCGGATCTCGATTGTTCTAATCATGCTGATGATGTAGGAAGTAGCTGATGATTGATAGGTGCTCAAGTACATTGCGTGACTAGGGTAGGCAGAATAACTTATTTTTTGTGGAATAGGAAGCAAACGAGCAGATGGATTACCTGATGGTAAGTAGTCAGCGATGCCTATGAACTCCTCGAACTCGTGTTGTTTAAATTATCACATAATTTATGTAGGTACTTTCCTAAGACAAAGTATATACACGATCTTTTGCGATAAAAAAATATTTATTCATTAATGTTTTATATCACTCAACTCCATTTAATCGTAGCGTGATGATTTATAGCCTATAGCGTTCAGGAACATTGTAGCTATCAGTGAAAGAATTTTGGCAATCCGACCAGCGGTTCCAAAGATTACCCCCTACATACAACCTTACAAATTTTACCTCTTTATAATATTAGTATAGATAAATTACATAGGTGGCCTTAATGTCATTAGGCATTCTAACAAATAATGTTGTTTATTGATATTTAAAAGAATAATGATCACACGATTGAATAAACCATTCAAGCGTGTCCAATTAGCGAAATATGTCTGTTTAAAATCAATGAAATTTTAACTGTTTGCCAATAGAATTAATAATTGTTTTGTTTATCACAAATTATTTTCAAGTAGGTACTGAATAATTGATGTTCTATACACAATAAGAGTACACTTTAAAGTACACAATAAGTACCTAATTGTGATTGGCTGCTTTATATATTTACAATATTAAGCCCGCATTTGGTTATGGACCTTAGGTGGTGGGAGTTCTTCATTATTTCTTGTTTCTTACCAATGGGTATAATTATTAATTGATCTTAATCAATAATATCTCATTATACTTAAATATATAATTAGGATTCAGATCGGTTTGTAAACCACTAGCTACTCTCGCGCGGGATCACCCGCTGCTCGCCTCCTGCAGATTGTAGCGTGACGTTTTATAGCCTGAAGCCTCCTCATTAAAAGGTCTATTTAACACAAAAATAATTTTCCTATTCGAACCAGTAATTCCTGAGATTAGCGCGTTCAAACAAATAAACTCTTCAGCTTTATAATATTTGTATAGATTAATAAGATGTCCCTAAGAAAAGTTATTTGTATTTCAGGCGTCTTCAGTGCGCGCGCGGCGATGTACGGCGGCTGCGCGTGCGCTGGGCGCGGAGGCGCGTGCGCTGCGGTTCCTGGACGACGTGGTGGCGCTGCTGCGCGGGGACGTGGCGGCTGCCGTACGCGCCCGCGCCTGGCCCTTCGCTATTGGTCGACGGCAGCCTGACAGGAACTATGTTATATGATCTCAGGTATGTTTAGCATACAGTTTTTTCACATATAATTAAATTGCAATCTTTGCGATTGTGAAAAGCAGCGAAATATATATATTTGTGTACTCTTGATTTGAATGCTTTAAAATAAGCGGTTCTAAAGATTCTTTAACCTCAATATATAAGTTCGAAAGAAATAGATATAAATAAATACCTAACTATTCATTTTCAATAGAATAGATAATTAAAGATAAGATTCGAACGAACTCTTGAGTAAAGTACCTGTGTAAATTGATATTAGTATAAGATCCACCGCCATTACTGAAGAATATTTCAAACATGGTCAATATAAACACTATAATATTATTGAAGTATACATATGTCATACAATCATTACACGAATGTTATCAAAATAATTCTTGTTCCTACTATAATTTCAAGTGGACTGATATCCAATGCATCATTATTAAATAAACACTATTATCTACACGTGTCTACGCTTTCATATATTTTTGCAAACATTTTAACACCAAAAATTTACGGAGTGATTAACACAGAGTGTAGAATGCTATATGTATAATGAGGCAATAGGATTTTAAGAGGAGGGAAAACATCTAAGGGTTTCTTCTTCATTGGGTGAGGCGATAGGTAGTATCAGACTGTCTGACTGAACTAATGGGGTCACACTTCATTATTGCGGTTTTTTATGACATAAGACTATAGACGGATCTCCTAATGGTAAGCAATCAGCCTTGGTCATGGTCATCTTCAACACCAGAGGACACGAGTACAGCTTTTTTGGATATAGGAATATGCAAACCACACGCACACGACGAAACACAACGCAAAAGTTGTTTCACGTCTGGTTTCTGTGAGGCCGTGGCTGTATTACGTAAAATCACGCGTCATAGGAGTGTACATCTTATAAAATAAATACGTCAAGTTATTTATCATGAAACTAATCTTGTTCTACATTACGCGTGCAGTTTTTGTTGACACAAAACGATTAGATGAAAAAAATTAATCAACATTTTTAAGTGCGGCGTAACTTTTTTAAGAAATACCTACATTTTTTTGTAAGTCTACTTCATATACATATTATGATTATTTTTATATAAAAACATTAGCTTCAAATATAATTATGTCGGTCTATTTTAAGTGGATCCAAGTTTTTAGATTGGCCTTGGTCGAAGAATCATTATTTATAGCAATCTTATTTATCTTACTTAGGCACTTATTAAGGTATTCGGGACATAATATGCGGATGGAATTTGACTGACTCAGTAATTAAGTACCTAGTAAAAAAACGGCTTATGTAGGATTGTTTCTTTAGTCGAACAAGTACGTTTCGAGATTGGAATACGCCGAATTATCGAGGATAGAAATACCATGTTTTAGTACCTACTTTTAACTAAAATATGACATTGGTTTGTAAAAGACAGACAGATAGACAGAGACGTAAGTACTGAAACATTTTTTAAGGATTACTGTATGATCCAATGTCTTCTCCAGATTGGGGTGACAGGGAGTTACAGATTCTTACTGACCAAAACTACCCCGTTCCATCTTTGCGCTTACTCTCGCAACCCCAGAGTTCCTGATTCGACGTTTGTTTAGGAAAATATCTACCTACGAGTAATAATAAACGTGGGAATACAATGTAACTGTATAATTTAACAGTTAAAGGACATAGTATTTGACATACATCTCACAAACAACAATTAGGTAGTCGATATTTTAATTGATCTTGACATTAATGAAAATATCAGTAAGTTAAGCAGTTAATTAATAAACAAACTGATGCTAGTGCGGTTACCGCTTACCCGTTAGTCTGCTACCAACAGATAAAACAATGTTGTTGTGTTATCCGACACATAGTAATATGACATATAGTGCATAAAAAAATATAAAACTGAAACATTATTACAGAAAAAGGTTTAAAACCAAAAGCCTAAACTATTCAGAGTCCAAATCTCCAAGTTATATATAAGGTTGATTTTGCCAGCGGTGAAAACTGTATTACAATAATTATAAATGGACTATCTAGCGCAGGAATGTGCGTTTACACAAATGAACAAAGTCTTCAGCTTATAATTAGTTAATAAAAGTATTTATAGAGAAGTAAACCAGCAAGTTAATTCAGATATTTAAAGAAGCAGAATGCAGATTTTTTAAAAGAAAAAGTTGCATATTTCTGTTATACCACATATCAAAAAAGATAGAATAATGATGTCAAACTTATACTAAACTAAATTATAGGTTTTTTAAGTATAGGTCAGCTAATAGATCTATCAGCTGAAAGTAAGTAATCGGCGTCACCCATGTGTACATGGGCGACGCCGCAACGCGACGCAACACCAAAGTAGTAACAATTCGTTGCCTTTTATAAGTTGTTTAAGAATAGAGGAGTGGAGGAGGATAGAGCCTCTGGTAACCTTAAACACAGACGCATTCTGTGAATGTACATGTATTCTGATAGATATCGTTATGTCTCCACGATACGACCGAAAAAGCCTTTTAAACAATATATCTCTGCGCGATTATTGTTTTACCAAAGACTAGAAACCTCATTCCGCACTTTAAAAAAAAAGTATGAACATTTTCAGTTCCTTAGTTATCTGTTAAAGTCGAAATCGTGCATAAAGTCAGTTAGAAAAACAAACGAAATTGAAACTTTTTGTGCCTTGGAACGAGAATAGAAGACACGCGAAACAATATTCGACAGGACCACGGTATTAGCTACATAACCGCTGTGTTGCCAACTACTGAGAACTTACCGGGTAATCGGCAATCGTTAGGCAATGAAATGAAAACCTCCTTATTTTTGAGGAGTGTCTATCGTAGCAATTAAGTTATTAATTTTAACAATCTTGAAGTTTTTTAAATGATTATGTCATGATACAAATGAAAGAAGTATCTTATTGGCCTCCTTTAATAAAACATGAACGTGTATATATGGAGAAAAACTCTACTAGTTTCGAACCACAGAGGGGTTCTTCCTCATGAGCAGCGTGCACGGACGCGGCGACGTCGCGCAGCCGTTTTATTTAATTTAGTATGTCTCACGATAGTTATTATAAAAACAAGACAGGAACGCACAAAGACGACCACTGTTACAGTGAAAGGTTACCTTAAACGCACCATTTTGGAAAGATATTAATTTATTGTTACTTAATAAACAAACATTTATTGAATAATTAAGTACTCCATGTTTATTAAGTCATTCTCAGCTTATTAAAAATTAATTATCACCTCTGAATTGCCACTAGGGAAACTATTGGCCGTAAGCTGGCAACCCAGTGTTGAAGCTAATTACCGGCGGCGCGCGGTGCTGGTACCGATCGCGCCGCAATCCGAAGCCATACACTTCTACGTCGCAGTCATACTATTAACAACTATTTACCTTTATAACTAAAACTAGTTACTCCCGCTACTCGCCTCCTATCAGTCGTAGCGTGATGTTTTATAATGTGCTCGGCAATGTGCGGGTGTACAATCAGCTCATTTCAAAAGTGACCCAATAGAACCTTATCTCTAATATATAAAATTCTTGTCACAGTTTTCGTTTGCGTTTCAGTTCACAGTTTGACCAATTTTGATGAAATTTTTTGTGCTTATCCAATCGGCCAGCATCTATTTTTCATCCCCCTCAATGTTAGGGGTAGTCCACACCAAATTTTTTTTTTATTTTAAGACAACATTTTTAATATTTATTTTTTATTATACAACATACATTTTCACCCTTCTACGATCAACCCTTTATGGCAAAACAACGTTTGCCGGGTCAGCTACTTTTCTTATATACATTGACACCCTTTATGTCTTTACGTTTCTTGCTGTTTTTATAATTATTCTATGCAAGATAAATATTCCATATTTTAATTTTTGATGTTCATGTTGATTGCTATACGTACTATTTTAAAAGGTTTCCTAGACATCCTAGAGTTTTTTATCTTCCTGCTGCCAATTAGAAATTATTTTGTAACTCTGACTGACCGAAATTGCCTACAACACATGCAGGCTAGTACACACGATCATGTAAGTACGTTTAGTAGGCCACGAACAAAACATTAATTACTTACTCAAGTACTTACAACTACAAGTTAGTGGTACGGTTATCTTGTAATTACTACAATAGTACTTAGTACTGGGCTCAAGAAGTATTTCATATCGTTATTCAGTTTAGTTATAAGACCTGAATTCTGTCATCATCATCAGCCTATAAGTACCCAATGCTGAGCAAAGGCATCTTCTCACACGGAGGTCAAGCATTAATCACTACGCTTGCTCAAAACGATGGGCAATTTCAAACTTATAATTAGTTCACCGTATGTCAGTAGTGTCTAAATAATCATATAAAGTACATATAACTGGGAAAAGTCACATTGATACTTGCCAGGTTTCAAACCCGCACTCTCATGCATGAGAAGAGGCCGCCTTAACCTCTGAACCATCACGACTGAATTCTGTACTTTTAGAATTTTTTTTTCAGACTCCAGGCATTGACCATCTTATTGAGACAATATCTTTATTCTATTAAATAAAATATAATTATAAGCAGATCGACACTTACTGGACGCAACTAATAATAATAATTTCCGTATTTCGTGACTATCGAGTTTTTTTACTATGGCAATTAAATTGGTGGATAATCGTCTCATGAATATGCGAACTAATCCTCAATGACGCTTTAGTTGACAGACGATAGATAATGTTAATTAATGCCAATATTCCGGTTTCAAATCAATTCAACCATTGAGATAAGCATCTAACAAAACGGAAGACTAACATCCGTGCATAAAAACTGCAGCAAGTCCTACTTAATATATTATAAACGCGACACTTGTATGGTATATACTAATTCTGGCTTCCGCCCGCAGCTTCGTCCGCGTGGTAAAAAGTAGCCAATGTCCTATTCCGGAGTGTATCCTATGGCCCCCCAAATTTTATCCAGGTCCGACCAGCCGTTTTGGCGTGATTGAGTAACAAACATCCAACCATCGTAACTTTCGCATTTATAATATTAGTAAAATGGTAGGCGCGGTACGTTTTTGTTACTCTGTCACGTCAAAATTACTGAACGGATCAAAATGAAATTTGGCACAGAGATAGATTACAGTCTGGACAAAAATATAAAGGTTACTTTTCACTATGATACTGCAGTTAAGGCCGCTAGCAGAAGCGTTACATATAATATGTTGGTAGTTATGGTGGTATAGTGTAATAAAATGGTGTCCTATTCTGCTTTGATTGCAGTTACGGTTACAAATTTTGACAGACTAGAAGACATATACGATATAGTGAATGAGTTTCTGGACATTGGTACACTCAAGATATAACTTAGCACAGGGTAGGGTCAATACGGTTATCATACTGTTAACGACATAGAAATAAAGATTTATAGTAGGTACATATAAAACTCTAGAGCAAGGGAAGGAATAACCCAAGATCTCTTACTAAGCAGTTCACTAGTTAAAGAACCAAAAAATCAGCTAAGTGTGGTATAGCCTTGCTTCGGCACGAAGTCCCTTCATTCCGGTGGTGGTAGAATGATACCACGGCCTCAGAGAAAACCGGCGTGAAACAACCACAACGTTGTGTTTCGCCGTATGAATGAGTTTACCAGATGCTCAATACTTCCCTTCCCCCAATCCCTAAATCTTCAAAACCATAATCTCCAAAATCCCTTCCGTTGTTGCGGGTGTCCATTTGCTACGCTGATTGCTTACTATCAGGTAAACCGTCTACTGTCAGATTAAAAAAGCAGTAGTACTATGCTGTTTTGTGTGCGTTATTCTCCGTGAGAATTGACCCTTTACTAGGAAATAACTTTAGTAAGGACCTACTAATTTGACTTACATACCTAAGAACCTTTATAGTTTTAAAAGTGTATTTTTATCCTAATTGGTAACTTGAGTTCTTGTTTGACACGAATAAAATAGGTAGCTTAGCGCCCTGTGCACTGCCTGCAATCGTTGCATAAGTTCACCTTACCTTGATGCGGTTGGCGTCTCGCATATGAATGAGTCACTACTACGGCCATGCACCATTTGTTTTGTCAAGTCAAGCGTCCCTAGCACGTGTGATTAGAAGTCAAGCGTGTCTAGCACGCGTGAATTAAGGTACTCGAGATGGTAATTAAGAAAAACGTCGTGGTGGCCAAAACCTGGCAAGTACCAATGTGACTTTTTCCGAATTATATTTTCTTTCTAAGATTATTTAGACACCACTGACATACGGTGAAGGAAAACATCGTGAGGAAACCTGGACTTATAATTTCTAACTAGTTTGTAATCGCCAATCCGCCTTGAGCAAGCGTGGTGATTAATGCTCAAACCTTCTACGTGTGAAAAGAGGCGTTTGCCAAGCAATGGGCACTTATATGCTGATGGTGTGATGATTATTAACAATATGTTTCATGTTACAAAGGGCCGGCTATCCCGAAGGACCGTACAGTTAACCCTGATTTACTCTCAACTTCTCAAATGGAAATTAATTAAGTAAGCGGCTTGATTTAAACGTATTCATATGTACTATAATGGAGTCTTTATTGTTGTGTTGTTGAATGAGTCTTTAAGGTAGCTTTTGGTGAAAGTATTTTTCATTAACGTGGCTTGTTTGTAATATCTAGTCTTGGGTTTTCTTTTTAGGAGAAAACATCTAGATTTTCCGCCCTGGAAGTGTCAGAAATGGAGTGCAAGACTCTTATGACTAAAATCTACAAAGTCCTTTCCCCTATATATGTATAGTAAGTCACATTATCACGAATCAGTCTACAAGTGCCCACTGTTGAACATAAAGAAAGTCATCGCAGTAATCTCTGGTAGTTCTTTATTTCTGCTAAGACTTCGGACACCAACTAGGGTTTAATGACAAACCCTTTTCCTTTTCAACTTATGGCCTAAATGAAGACTTCAGCCATTCAATCGAACCGAGAGATGATCTCCGGCCACCGAAAGCGCGGGTCTGCGGACGGCGAGCAAGGGTAGCTCGCCAGAGCCAGACCCGAGCTTAAGGCGCGTAGCGTTCCAATAGACCACCACAGACGGGGCCCTATAGCGCTGATGTTCAGCCGGGGTTGCGGGGTAAGCGCAATGAGTCACTGCGGCGTCGGCCCAGAGCAGGAGAAGGAAGGGAGGGGGGTTTAGTCAGCAAGAGTCTGACAGTCCCACTTATCCCCTCACAAAAAAAAGCCATGCAACCGAATGGCTAATAATTTATTGAATATCTAATTAATCCAGTTGGCTGGTATATTTCTATATCTTAGCCTAGCAAGCAAGTAAGTAGTTGTTTTTCTATATGGTTCTGGCATTTGTTTCGCTTAATTTGCATATACCTACTAGCCAAAAACGAAAATAAGCGTTTATTAATGGCAGTGAGGTAATTAGTGTAATAAAACATTAACAAACTTGCCTCTGCCTTATATTTCGGTGAAAAACAAATATGGAAATAATAAATGCCATTTAAGAATGTTAATTTTATTTAAAAGTTAATTTGTTATAACCAGATTATTCAGGTCTCGCATTGTATGAAATATTTACACAGTCAACGGCCAGTTTTATACTGGTTTATTCATTAAATTGCAGCCATTTTGTCAAAATGATGTATTATGTATAATGACTACATATTTACAAAACAAGATTTTATTCGTAATTCCTATTATATAATAAATAACTTCGCCTTGCTAAGTTAAAAGACTAGTTTATATGTTAATAGTATCTACATACCTAAATATGTTCCTCCAAAACTAATTTAGAAGTTAGTTTTAAAAAAAACCGTTGCCCCACTCCAGATTATTCTCCTGTACCGTGGGTACATTTACAAACACATGAATTCAGATCCACAAGACGCTTAGACTCGAAACAATATTTTTACAAACTATAAATGCGATAGTAAGTCGGTCTATCTGTCTTTTCTTCACGCCTAAACTACTAAACCTATTTGTGTGAAATTTGGTACAGACATAGTTTAAAACTCAAGAAAGGACATAGGATAGTTTTTAAACCAAAAATCTGCAGGAAGTCACAATTCCACGCGAACAAAGTCGCAGGCAAAAGCTAGTAAATCTATAAAATAAGGAACCTAAGAATAATGGCTGCTGTAAAATGTGTTGCGGGTTCGATTCCCGCCCGAAACAACTCTGTATGATCCACAAATCGTTGTGAAATTGCATTTTTGTAAACACAACCACGACAAATGAGAAAAACCTAGTGTGAGGTCATGTATTTTTTTTAAATATTCCTAAGTAAGTATACACAATATAAAGCTACAATTTATAAGTACAATTAAATATGAAACGATTTACCAATTGACGGTTAAAATGTCCACAATCAGTATAATTACGTAATATTAATTAACAAAATATAATAATATGTCGTTAACCAACACGTATTCAGCCATTTGTGGTGGCCTTATTTGTTCACAAACACGGAGGTGGGAAAACTAGCGATGCGGCAAATCTACAGTCAATATGCGGTAGGAAAATAAAGATAGTGTGCTTTTTAACGAATTTAAAATATTTGGTTACTGTCTATAATCCCAACTAATATTGTAAATGCGAAAGTAACTCCTGTCTTTTCTTGACGCCTAACTATTGAACCTATTTGTGTGAAATTTGGTACAGACATAGTTTAGAACTCGAGAAAGGACATACAAGTGTCATATCTGTTGCAGTTCTTAACATTATAACTTCTGGTTTCAATGAAAAATGAAAACTGTTTTGACGAACCTTACCTACATTAACTAAAACACTTTTTCGTGAACTAATATTTTTAGGTAACTTTACTTGGGATTAGAACCTGATATGCCTTAACAAAGCACTCAAAAGTAAAAAATTACTCTGCCATACCGTACTTCGAGTTGGAGACCTACCTTGGTAGCCTTCGTTTGCGACCACTGATGATCCATTTTAATTATTCATTTGACCCAATTTAAAACTTAATTAACATTTATAAACGTTTGAGCATCCCTTTCCTATCGCATCGTACGTCACTCCTAAACCATTTAACGAAATAAACATGGCCGCCCGCTTGTGTCTCCCTCTGAACGAACAATTGGGTACCACAATGAGTTCACTACACGTATTGTAGGAGTGAGGTTATGGCTGGCAAAATAGGGCCGCAGTTAATTTTATTATTATTTTGTTACATCATTATTTTCTCATCTCATCATCAGCCTATAAGTATAAAGCTACCCACTGCTAAGCAAAGGTCTCTTCTCGCTTATAAAGGATCCAACAGGGGTTGCTAATGAACCGCGGCCAGTGCGGAACCGGAGAGTCAGGTAAGAGTGACATTCCCTCGCCCCGCACCCGGGTCGAGAAAAAGTCAAAAAGTCAAAAGTCAAGATCACTTATTCCAATATTAGACCACAGTAGGCACTTTTGAACGTCAATAAAAGAGATTTGATGATTTTCCCCCTCAAAAAAATTTAATAATAAAAATTATTTCTTAAAATGATGTAATAATAAAAAGTAATAAACTGCCATCATAAATAATTTAGGTATTTCTGACACAAACCCACATCACGCATCCCACGACCTCTCAATACATTTACTGTAGATTCAAGCTCAGTGGCCAGCACATCAATCTACTCCAATCTGCATTGTTTGTGTCATTGGAATGTCAACTGCAATTTCCAGCAAATAAAGTTGAAAATCCAATCCGTACCATTGACAGAAAGGTATAGGTCGACCAGCTGGTGTTTGAACATAAATCAAATCAGAATCGTTTTGTTGAACCCTCGTGATTACAAGTCATTAGAATTTTAACCATTGCACAATGATAACATTACAAAACGAATGTTTCAGGAATGGAGATATCGCTGACTGTCCGCCATGCTGCTTCTCTCGAATATTCGACACCAAAGGCATAGGTACCAAGGGGGTAACTTTAACGTTATTTACACTGCTTATGTCACGGTCACTGCCAAGTCCGTTATATTAAATGTTACCGCGAACACAGATGACCATTACCGTTATTCATTAAATTGTCATTAATAATTTAATTAGCTGGAGCTGTAGATCAAGGAGATATTAGTAGTAAACTGATACAACAAGGCATAGATCGAGAGTGAATGGTGACGGAATCGGACAGTTGTGAACAAAAAATAAATTATTTCGCCTTTTTAATTCCACACTATAATCGTATCTTAAATTAATATTACTTATTTGTAGATGAATTGATTTTACGATACTTTACAACATTCGAATTTAACCTCGATAAAAAATATGCCAGATATTTGTAGCAAAAAAAATACCGTACCTAGGTAACATGTTACAATCCCATACATAAACTTGGATATGAAAAATAAACATTGAATTTGACTATACAGTTGCCAATGGCATACATATAGCTAAAAGCAACTAATTAATAAGGCAGTTTGCAACAAGTACTTACACAAAACAAATAGAATATTTTTCCAAAATGACAAAAATGACAACATTCTAAAATTTTGTATGAAATAAAATTTACGCCGTTAATCAAAATTCTATGACGTCATGTAGCAAACTTGTTTTATTTGAATTTTGTAAAGAATATTCAGTATATCGTAAAGCTAAAAAAAGTTTGTAAGGAGTCAAGAAAAAGAAAATAAGTATTTTTATTTATTTTGGCAATGGTCATTTGTGTTTGCAGTTGTCAATCATTTATTTTAAAATGATTAGGTACTTTAGAAGCGAATTTAATTGAAACGACATGTCTTGTTAATAATTGAGGTTATATTTATAAAATAATAATATACATAATATGCAGATGATGCAGAAGTCTCCCATACGTAAAAATCATTCAAAAGATTTTATTTAAGCTTTTCATTTTCACATTTTTTTAATACATAGCTAGCACAATTTTAGTAATTTGCGTTGTATTTAAATTCTCTTTATTTTTAGGTAGTACCTACGTAATTACTTAATATTTTTAATTGTATTGTAGTTTTATGTTTTTTTTTGTATACGGTTTATATTATCTTTTCATTTTATTTTATTTTTTTATTATGACTGACATACTTGAACACAGAACAATTGAAATCGAATTAATTTTATTGTGTTGGACTTGACAGATTTTTATTATATTTATTTGTGTAATAATATTTTTAAACTGTGGTGAAAATGTTGTAGGTTTTTTTTAAGATGTGCTCTTTAAGATGATCATGTATTTTTAGCTTAATGTTTAAAATACTTTCGTTTTTAAAGAGTATATCCGTAAAAACTACGTTTACTCGAAGAAACATAAGGAATCCTTTATTTCCAAAAATGTAATTAAATATTTATGTTTCTTAAGATGTAAATTTAGTGTGCATTTTTGTTAACCATCTATGTTTTAATATATATGAGAGATAAACAACATCTTAATTATATTTATCAGACGTAATTATTATCACGTCTTTGTACATATCAAAATTATTAAATTTGAAAAGTTTAATTGTTTAAATATAATGATGAAAATTATAATCAATTTCAAAATTGAATTTGTTTGTAAATAGTTAATATGTATTGTTTATATTCAAATCTGGAAAATTGTTTGTATGTAAATGTTTGAAATTGGATAATTAATTATGATAAGATAATTATGTACTCTAATACTCGTATTTGGATCTCTTAGACTGAACTTGTGTGGTTAGTGATTGAACTAAGTTAATGGAGTAAGCTTAAAAGGTCTATGTTAAGAAATTGTTATTATTTTCATTTTGTAAACTTGAACGCAATAAAATATATAATATTTCAATTATTTTCCGTGTTTATTTTGTGCTTAACTACCAAACAAACGTATGTTTCGTGACCGAAAATAAGACAAGCATGTTATAAACTAGTATTTTGAAAAAAGAACATAGAATTAGGTAAGTATTCGAAATTCAAACACCAGAAAATTTAAAACGTATAAATGCCATCAGAGGTTTTATATCTCACCGCCCCTCACCTAGTACTAACAAAGTTTCCGTAACCACTGTAAAATCCTTAAAAGCGTTTCCACTTTCGTTCGTGGACCATTGAACAGTACGCGGTTGCATTAATTGAGGAGCTCCCAATCGTAATCCCGGCACTCAGCACTCGGGTTATTGATTGTAACAATAGTTCATTACGTGTGGCAACACTGGCTACCCCTAAACACGGTGATTAATGTCCCGGTGTTGCCAGCCGCGTAAAATATCGGCCCTGTCGCACACTGTGACACTCTGACACTGGATGACGTCACGGCTTGGATGGTTACAGGAGCACATCGGGGAATATTAAAACAATCGGGTTGTACCTTTTTCAACAGTAAGACAATTAGGCATTGTGATCTTGGTGGTTATATTAAAATAATAGGCTAAAAAATCATTAGGTACATTGCTGTAACAGAGATGTCATATTAGGATTAATTATTTCATCTACCAACCACAGCAAATTGAGCTCAATATTTACAGTTAGTGCCTGGCTAGACTTATTTGCAAAATTTTGGCACCAACTAATTAACCATGAAAATAAAACGGAATCCACAATTATGAAATTTAACTAACAACACTACTGTTAAAGATATTATTATTTGTCATAGTTATTTAGCACCTAACCAGTGCCAAATTGCCATGTGTTGGCAACACCACAGCTCTCGTGGGGGGAGGGGGGAAGGTTTGTAATCTCTGTCCCTGACAGTGTGATGCGGGGTCGTCGGCCCCCAGCCCTGCTCGGCCGCTTACCGCCAAGCTTGAAGTTAATTGCTCGTGAACATATTATTCAGCAATTTTTCAGAATATTTTCAGAGAGAGTGGAAGGATACATTTGCATGTTTACAGCTATCGCCCGGATTATATTTCTAACTGGATACAGTAATGGCGCAACTTTATCTCGCCAGATCCATGGTCAAAACTTTTGTGCACTTTATTTCGTTTTGGAGTCAGAAAGTGAGTAGCCCTAACGAGAGGATAATTGCCTGTTATGTATGTATGTTCATCCATAATGATTGTAACCAAAATAGAAGAAAACATATCTATCGTTCTTTATTATGACCTTGTCTCAATATCAATATTTTCTCCTGGTAAAATTCTCTTTCAATCTTACTCTTCTAGAAAAGTTACATCTGATCCGAACCTTAGATTCTTTACAGAGACCCAAAACGAATTGGCAGAAATCGAAGACGCACCCTCAAAACCTTTACAAACCGAACGTATACCTACATAAATAATTTCGCTATAAAACTTTATACAGCGAAATTATTTTCAAATTACCCCCAAAGCGAGTTTAAATTACTTATGTAAATGTGGCAGATACCTGGCGAGGTTGGATCGCGTGTTGGCCCAACTTATAATTGGGGAGGCTTGCCGGTGGGGCGCAGTGGAGCTCGGGACGGCACCCGATGAGGTACACCACAGATACCATCCGCGGTGCACCACTAAACGTGACCCAGGACAACACAAAAATACTGCGACCACAGTGACTATAAAGACAGTGATGGATTGTTAAAAATGTAACTGACTTTTGTAAGTCTGGATAAAGTGATTCCATATTCCCGTTGTGGGCTTAAGATGTTGGTGTAAAGAGTTCGTGAGGTCCCACCATGAGACTAGCTCGTCAGTATCTCATACCGATCGCGGCCAATGTTGGTCACACAGTCATGTCCAACGCCAACATCCAAATTGAATAAAACGTTGGCCATTGAAGTGTTACCAACATTTCGTCAAGTGATTTAGAAGGCTTTAGAACTTGCACCGAACTGCGCATCGCTTGACAGTTGCACAGATTAATTAGTAAAGATTGAAACTGTTATATAAACTAGACTTTTTTTATTATCTAAAGTTTAAAATAGTTTTGTAACTCATTTAAATAAAGCATAGTAAGTTTAGCTTAGGGATTACTGCTCGTTCATGTAAAAAAAATAGTCTTATAAAAAATTGGCAATGCAAAAAGTGTACACAATACAAATTGCTAACAAGTTGAGTTTTACAAAAATAATAAGTTGGCAGTAACCGAGGCATCACACTTTAATTACAATTTCACATGCACTGAGCACTGTTGTGCTGTACCTAATTGCATTCCCAACTGACCTGCAACGCTGCACAATGCACATACTACTCAAAATAACGTTACACGTTCGAGAATTATTAATGTAGCATGTGGCTATTAGTGGGTTTGGTTTGAGTCTTGTTTGAATGCAAGCTCTGTCAATATTAATAACAAATTAGAATCTAAAATCGTCAGGGGTAAAACCGTTTCAAGTTAGACATTTTGCTTAAAAAGAAGAACAAAACTATCACTTTATTTCAGCAGTAATTTTACATCAAATAAAAAACAAACTTGATTCCAGTTTCCAAATTCAAATTGATAATACGTGACCGAGAAAAGCGAGAACACATTCACAGTGAAAAATATCACTAACAACAATGTCCAGAATTCAAGGGAAAGCCACGAAGGAAATACTGTAATATTAACAAGTGCTCCGCTCCGGAAAGATTAGCGCCGACATGATAAAATTATGCTTTTTGAATAGCTTTGATAATATTAAATGAATATTGTTGCGTGTGCCCCTGACGCACGGCTCGTGGGACCGTTTTACAACGCAAATTACGACGACCAGCTTCAAAATTTCAACATCTCTTTTGTGAATGTATGGCTCTTGAATAATCTCGATTATACGAAAATGGAACCGCTTCTGTGAAATATATCATATACACCACAAATCAATAAACTCGACAGCGAACATAAACATTGATATCGAATTACTCTTGACGGAATTTATAATTTCAAATTGAATTAATGCGATTGAAAGCATTATTCATTTTACTTTGTACCAACATTGAGGACACTTTTTTCAACTACATAGTTAAAGCTCGCGATACGGGACCCAGGCAGCGTGCGTATGAAAATAGAATATTAGCATATTAATGTAGCCGAGGATCCCTACATCCGGCCTCCTCCGTACATAATTAAAGCTCGCATTAGCTTTGTGATGAGCCCCGGCCGCTTACGCAAAGCTTCGCAAACGAGCCCCCGGGAACAGGGGGCTGCTCCGCCGACCCCCAAACATGTGGTTAAAACTTCGGACGCCACTTCATACTTTATTTACACTGTTTTCATGCTGTCATTGGACAGATTAAGAGCGTGGCAAGTGGCCAACTA